AAGAAACTAAAGAATAGAAGGTCATGTGGGCCCAATCCCACAGCTGAAGGCCGCAAAGATTGCTTACAAAAACCCCTCGACCCTTTTCATTCCTCCTCACGATCTGTGTTGCCACTCTCATTCTCTTTCAGACACATTCACAAACACTTGCTCAACTTTCTGCTCAGCCATGGCTAGACCGCAGCAACGATATCGAGGTGTCCGCCAGCGCCAGTGGGGCTCGTGGGTGTCCGAAATTCGCCATCCGTTATTGTAAATTCTCTCTTCCTAAATTCCACTTTCAATTTACATACAATTTTCTAAATCAGTGCATTTGATTTTGTGAACATTTCGTTTTAGCTTTTGCTAGTGAAAGTCGCAAGTGAAACGATATTTCAAGACTCGAGTACTACTGCACTCGTCACGGATTGTAGATTTTGTATTAGGTCACCTTTTCCTCCTTCATTATGTTATATATAGAGATCTTAAGGAACGTTTTTCTTCGAGATAAGACAAAGAGGTTCGAGAAACAATCTAGTAAAAAATTTGCAGCGACAAGTGGACATAACTTTTACAATTGTTTGTGTGTAGGAAGACTAGAGTATGGCTGGGGACGTTCGAAACAGCAGAGGATGCAGCCAGAGCCTACGATGAGGCTGCAAGGATCATGTGCGGGCCAAGAGCGCGAACGAATTTTTCGTACAACCCCAATGAGCCTCAAACATCTTCGGCCAAGCTTCTTTCGGCTACATTGATGGCAAAACTACAAAAATGTCACATGGCATCATTCAAAATGTCCAAGAAACAACCTATAAATGCAGCAGAACAATCTTCATGTACAAACAGAGGCATTTATGAAGAAAATGTTCCAATGGGGAGTGGCCAAGAACTGAAGGCACTTGAAGATGATCATATAGAGCAGATGATTGAGGAGTTGTTTGATTATGGCTCAATTGAGCTTTGTTCTGTTATGGAAAATTAAATTGAGTCTTGTCTTATTTTCATTTGCTTTTAGTTGAACTTTCTTCCACGTTTCCGTGCTATAAGCATGTTTGATACGTTGGATTGACGACTCTGAGTATGACTAAAGAAAAAAATAAGTTGAAATTTCGTTCATGGTACTTACTATACATTAATATAGAATATTGTCTATGCAACACAAAAAGTTTAAACTATTTCTGCTTTGAATCTCACTTTTCTCTCTAAATTATGTTCCTGGTTTTTCAGTACAAAAACACTATATTGAGTTCGTTAGAACTCTTATACATTGTTGTGCTACTTTCGTAAGAAACAAACATTATTCTAT